AGCGTGTTGCAGACTCTGCCTCCAGGCCCAGCGACATAACGCATTGTCCACTGCAGTACAAATATCATACTTGTTTTATTCGGCGATGGATCAATGGCCGGTGTTATAGATTAGTATATTACCATAAAATTTGGTATTATTTTAAACGCGGCATCGTTGTATGGGTTATTTACGAGACATGTGACAAGTCATTATTTGTCATTGGACAATTTGGGCGTTTGTTCGAGTGTTATCTGCTGGTCTGGCACTGGTCATAACAACAATAATAGCACTGCGTCTACTACTACTACTACTACTACTACTACTACTACTACTACTACTACTACAACGACTGCTTACCCGTGTAGATCGGGGGTAGAATAGGTCCCCATGCTTGCCATAAAAGGCGACTATGCCTGTCGTAAGAGGCGATTAAACGGGAGCGGGTCGTCAGGCTCGCTGACTTGGTTGAAGAATGTCATCGATCACAATTGCGTGGATCGATGCTCATGATATCAATCACTGGATCGTCTGGTCCAGACTTGATTATTTACAGACTGCCGTCATATAGCTGGAATATTGCTGAGTGCGGCGTGAAACAACAAACCAACTAACTAACTACTGCTACCTCTGCTATGGCTACCGCTACTGACATCATGCCGCAGTTTAACATGAATACCACACTCAGACACAGTATGCTGACTCCGAGCAGACCAGTCCTTGTTTAAGCCCCTTAATGCCGAGCGCCAGGCAGGGTAACAACAAGTAACAGGCGTTAACGTCTTTTGGTATGACGCGGCCGGGGATCGATACCCGGACCTTCCGCTCTCCGGGCGGACACTCTACCAGTAGACAATTTAAATTCTTCTGATAATTTCATATCACTTTCTGGTATCTCGTTGAATTTTTACATAATTAAATTCGGTACCTCTGACCATAATTGTGCCACGTTAGCCATACAACGACTAAATTGCGCGAAACATAGTTCCTCAACACGAAAACGTATATTTATTTTAAATGTCCGACTGTAATATCCTTTGAAGTTTGATTACAATAAATAAATTTGAAAACGTACATCATTAGATGGGCATTTCGTCTTAAGAATTACGCAAGTAAGTTGGTTACTCTGTGCGTCGAAATACATGTACACAGAATTAGTGCACAGGAAAGAACATTGTTGCGTTGTCGCATTGTCACCCTTCTGAAACAAACAAAACGTGTCAAAACTAACCAAAGCGCGACAGTGCGACAATGTGACAACTCGACATATTTTAACATCAAAAGCTGTCGCGTTGCGCACTGTCGCCTTTTGGTAAAAAAAATAGATATATTAAGCGACAACGCGACAACGCGACAAAGCGACAAATAGCCAATATGTCGCGTTGTCGCATTGTCGCGCTTTGGTTAATTTTAACACGTTTTGCATGTTTGTGTCACAAGAATTTGTCGCAGCGACGTTATTCTATCACAGACATTCAGTCAAAACCTCTGACAATTTCCAGTGTTGGCAAATGAACTGAGCAAAGTATCTGAATGTAAGCAACAAAAACCATTTCCACAATCATAAGAAATATCTGCTGAAAGCAGAGACCATTGTACGATTCCGACTCTCTCATGAGCATGTGTGTATGAATCACTTATCAAACTGTGATAATTCCAGGTGTTCGCGCAAAGGTGAGGTGTCCGACCCACAGATTGCACTGATCATTAAACAGTTTCTGTATTTACTCATGCCAGGTGTGTACGCGGAGATTTGGAAGAAGGCCGGCAGTGTTTACGTCATTTTAAACTGTCTCGTATAAAAAGTTACGAAGGTCAAAATGTGTAGTTCATAGGCTTTTAACGTCAGCTTGGCAGTCAGGTCAATTACAGAAGCCGCATATCGTGTAAATGTAACTGCAATCACCACGACGACGAAAGGTGTAAGTTCGATCACGGCGACTACATGGTCTGATAGTGTTACTTCCACTAATTCTACTACAGGCACAATAACACTACTTCTACACTATCCACAAACCAATACTAGTATCTGTGAAACATATTTTGAAAAAAAGTTGTTAAATTATCTTAATAAAATAAAATAACTGCTGTAATCTAGACTTGCCCACTGTTATAGACTGACATAGAGTGTATTTGATATGTTTGTTTTAGGGTATGCATGACAAACTACACTATCTACTGTTACTACTTTCTCTGCAACTACCTTACACCTACATCCTCGAACAATATACTTGCTACATCTACAACAAGCTTTACCTCTAATACTACATCAACTGCAGCTCTACAACACGTAAAACCAAACCACTCAAAAGACGTGAAGGACCACCTGATTATTTCGTATTACTATGGTTAGTTTGTCCTGGCATGGCAGATTAACTATAGTGATATAGCATGACTAACTACGTACCACTCTGCTACACGTGGCGTCAATAACCACCATTACACCTACCACGAGTGGCCAATGATGTTATAGTTGATGGTGATTATAAGTTAGGCCGAATGCTAAACTGGCAAAAGAAAGTAAACCGAGTTTGTTTTTTATGTAATTGAAAATTGAAAAACTGTTTTGAAATTTGGTTATGTCTACTTAACAACCCCTCATGCCTGCAACAGTTTGTAAAAAGTAATCTGTGGCGTGGTAATTTGTGTAAGAATAAATTGGTTCAACGAAGACTGGAGTAAGAAATGAATTTGCAACCATATGACACCTACCATGTTGGAAATCCTTAAATTGGTGTCGAAAAAATATTAAGAAAATTAAATAAAACCATTTTGAACAATAGGGCGGTCGGGTAGCCTAGTGGTTAAAGCGTTCGCTCGTCACGCCGAAGACCCGGGTTCGATTCCCAACAATGGTACAATGTGTGAAGCCCATTTCTGGTGTCCCCCGCCGTGATATTGCTGGAACATTGCTAAAAGCGGCGTAAAACCATACTCACTCACTCACTCATTTTTGAACATTAAAACCATGTAAAAGTAATCTTTGAGTGCTGACATAGCGCCAGTAATTGGATAATATCTCTAACTTAAGTCATTTTCATTTGAAAATCAAACATATGATAAAATTAACTGACAGGTCTGGTTTCTTTTGCCTCCCCGTTTGAACAGGGAGCCCTGGTGTGACAATACCTATACCATTACGGTGACCACAACGTTCCATCAAGCAGCACGCCTTCGGTGAGACTGAAGCGATAAATACTCTAAACGAGACTGCATTGTCAGTTTTTAGAAGTACTTTAGAATAAACAAGGGGACATTTTCTCTATACTTTATACTTTACTAAAGACACACGCCAACATAAGGGCCATATGCTTCCGACTTAACCCCCACTGGCCAATGGTCAATTGTCCTTGATGTGTGCGCTCCCTGGGGAGGAAGTATTTGGTAAGTGATTGTGAGGGTCAATGGCCACGTGTGGTCAAGGGTTAGAGGTGTGATGGTGTGTAATCGTCAGTGGGCCACATACAGTGTGTCAACACAAGATCGGGCTAGCCAGAGACGTGTTGCAGTACTAACACTCTCATCTATTATACAGTACGTTTCGTGTTGGACATTGTCCCAGTGTTGTTCTAAGTGGTGTCAGAAGCGTCAAGAAACAGCATCCTACGTTAAGAATAAACACGTTAATCATTTTGACACACTTTGAAAATGTCGTAATAGAATAATGATAATAATAAGTATATACAGTTTTTCTTACACACCCCAACTCCCTCGCCGTAATTAAGATGTAGTTTGTACTGGATTGTATAACGTACTGTTGTGAACAGCGCATTTACTGATCTTACGGATCGGTACCTACTGGCCACTGAATTCGTGAAGATCGGTACTCACTTAAATTCGTGCGGAACGGTACTCACTTGACATTAAATTGGTGCGGATCGGAACTCACTTGACATTAATTCGTGCGGATCGATACTCACTTGACATTAAATTCGTGCGGATCGGTACTCACTTGACATTGAATTCGTGCAGATCAGTATCTACTGGACATGGAATTCGTGCGGATCGGTACCCACTTGACATGGAATTCGTGCAGATAAGTATCTACTGGACATGGAATTCGTGTGGATCAGTGCCCACTGGACATGGAATTCGTGCGGATCGGTACTCACTGGACATGGAATTCGTGCGGATCAGTACTCACTGGACATGGAATTCGTGCTGATCAGTACTCACTGGACATTGAATTCGTGCAGATCGGTACCTACTGGACATGGAATTCGTGCAGATCGGTACCTACTGGACATGGAATTCGTGCGGATCGGTACTTACTTGAGCATTCGTGCGGATCGGTGCCTACTGGACATTGAATTCGTGCAGATCGGTACCTACTGGACATGGAATTTGTGCGGATCGGTACTCACTGGACATGGAATTCGTGCAGATCGGTACTAACTTGACATGGAAATCGTGCGGATCGGTACTCACTTGAGAATTCGTGCGGATCGGTACCTACTGGACATGGAATTCGTGCAGATCGGTACCTACTGGACATGGAATTCGTGCGGATCGGTACTCACTTGATATGGAAACCGTGCGGATCGGTACTCACTTGAAATCGAATTCGTGAGAACCGTCACCAACGGAACACTCATGCGTGCGAATAGGAAGGATCCCACGATACATTGCTGGAGTACGGGTGCTTGTGTGCGTGCGTGCGTGCGTGCGTGCGTGCGTGCGTGCGTGCGTGCGTGCGTGTGTGTTTAAGGCGGAAGGGATGGGGCTAGAGTGTATAAGTGTCGCACAAATCATTCGATTACCCACACAAACTGGGCTTTAACGCGACGCGTTATGATGTTTAAGGACATTCAGCGCAGAGCAAATTTGGACAGTGGACACATTTCACCCACGACATGTCCTGCTGGACAGCTAGCCTATCTGTACCCGCAGGGCGTCTGGGTATTGGTTGTGTATAAACAACGCGGCGAGGTATACCCAATCAATGTTGGCTACAGTTAAAGAGAGCACTGTATCACCGTGGGTGATAACTGACCCATATCTCAAGGCTGTCATGTACTTACACGGAACAATCCAGAGTAGATCCATGTGTCGTATGTTCCCTCTTCCGTCATTGCTAAACAGATGTCCGACATTAATGTGTTCCCGTAGCTTGAACTAGTCACGGATAGAACAAGCAATATCCTTGATGATCGACAAGGTCCATTTCACAAGTGTTTTCAAACGACGTAATGCCTCTAATCACAAGTGTTGATTATTAAAACTTCGACGAATAACAGTAATAATGCCCTCAACTCCTTATTACCGACATTTCAAGACCAGATTAAAGTCACGGTGGGCGGATTAGGCCTTTCTGCGATCAGTCCCTATTATCGAAGCATGGCACTGTGTGAAGAATTAAGGAGCGTTTTCCCGAGGGTACTGATGTGTTACGGGGGTTCACAATCACTTTTACACCACCACAAGTCCTGAGGCTGTGCACGTCCCATCGCTGGGTCACAGCCATACACAGACTCAGTGACGACAACAACGACGGAAGTGTAGGCCGGGTCATGGTGATTTATGTATCAGCAATAAAAACGGATAATTTATTGATGACGTGATTCTCGCGGGCGTTGTTTCCAGCCAATTTGGGAATCGAACCCAGGTCTTCCGCGTGGCGGTAGACAAAGTTGTAGTGGACTATCAAATTACAATGTCGACTGATTGAAATTTGTATGCTTGCGTTCTTATCTCTTACCTGTCATTAAACATTGCTCTTACCTGTCACTTGTAAAGGATGCTACGGATGTGCCGAACAGCTCCCGACATATATTAAGTGTTGTCTTTTATTCACTAATCAACATGTTTCACCCCCATATGTTATTGCCCTCAACTGCGACTTTTCAATACCAAACGTGTTGACGGCAGTAGCTGTCAAAGTCCATTGTTTACGGTATTATACCGACGACAGATGGCATGGCTCGTTATGAATATTGGCATGTCACTACAGCCTGGGTGGTCATTGGTGGGTCATTTGCACCAAGGTCATGGTCATGAGTGGTTTCGGCGTATCAATGGCAACTGAAGTATTAATTGATTGATTTCTCGCTATTTTATCACTGGCGGTCTTGATGTGTGTATGGACAATGTGTGCAACGAGCTCGCCATTTAACAGCCTTGTTGAAATAAAGTAAACAACTTACGAAGGGCGAGTAAAGTACTTCAACGACATAGATGTAGAAAGGGTCACGACGTTGTTGTAGCCGCGTAAGCTATTGTCGTAGCTGACGTAGTTATAACAGTTCTTGACACCAAACATATGCAGGTTTACTCATTTCTTATTATATCATATTCCGTTTCTCAAAAATGTGTTCCTCGCTGTTTGTTTTTCTGGAACATTTAGTCTGACAGAATCATAAAAGCATTCCACATCGAAACCCTTGATATTGCAAACTTCATTTCTGATTCGTGGAGATAAAAAACCCTGAACAAATTAATTGGGAAGATTCTTCCAAGATTGATGTTTTGATATTTGGTTCTTGGTTCCTGTACTCCCAGAAAGAGTGAGTGAGTATGGTTTTACGCCGCTTTTAGTAATATTTCCGCAATATCACCGCGGGGAACAACAGAAATGGCCTCACACCTTGTACCCACGTGGGGAATCGAACCCAGGTATTCGGCGTGATGAGCGAACTCTTTAATCCTAAGGCTACCCCACCGTCCGTCTACAAACAGTGGGCATTGAAAGGGGATGACTGTGTTGCAGTCCAAACCGTATTTAATTACCAGTCAAAACGTTTCCTTCTTTTCAACTTCAGTTCTAGGTCTTCAGCAACCCATGCTTGCTTTAAAAGGCGACTATGCCTGTCGTAAGAGGCTCGCTGACTAAGTTGATGCATGTCATCGTATCCCAATTGCGTGGATCGATGATCATGATGTCAATCACTGGATTGTCTGGTCCAGACTCGATTATTTACAGAACTGCCGTCATATAGCTGGATTATTGCTGAGTGCGGCGTTAAACAACAAACAATCAACTTCAGTTCTAACGATTTACCATGAACCCCAAATGCACTCTAACTGAAATAACAGCGTTTATTCGTGAATGGGAGGGGGGGTCGGGTAGCCTAGTGGTTAAAGCGATTCCCGACATGGTTACAATGTGTGAAGCCCATTTCTGGTTTCCCCCGCCGTGATATTGCTGGAATATTGCCAAAAAGGGCGTAAAACCATACTCACTCACTCACTCGGGAATAGGAGACAGGATGCTATATGAATTTGTTTAGTATTCAAGGGCAAATGCTTCATGTTGAATTTTCATTGGGTTTTAAGACAACCAAATGTATCGAATTTAGACCTTCAGTAGATTTTACTTTATTCTGCTATCATTTATCCAGTATATAAACCATATCTGTGTACGCGGCAGCAGTTCCAGTCAGTTCGTCTGACGATGTCGTAATGCTGACGTTCAACGGCACTGCCAGTCACTGGGGTAATAGGCCACTTGACATTACATGGACACAGCTATTTCACCGCGCTGGATGCCTAATAACGCACCTATCACGTGTAGTCCTAGACGAGCAGTTGGGTGTAAATATAACAGAGCACACCCTTAAGGATAATCGACATTTCCTAAGGACACTGCAGTGTCCTAGAAGAATGAACACTCCATTGTCGTTAGAGCCGCGTCGACGCTGTAAGTCGCAATTAGCGTTCGTTGTATAAAGTGTTTGGGTGGGGATATGTTAGAGATGGGAAGATACAGATGATAATCTGCCTGAGGGATCGTAACAGTTTTCACATACAGTAGACATGCAGTCTCACGGGGCTCACCGAGGCTATTGTTAGGGGCTATGTTCACAGGGAATCGGTCGGTCAAGTATGTTATGTATGTCAAATGGGGGTGAGTGAGTATGGTTTCACGCCGCTTTTAGTCCGGGCGGGGGACACCAGAAATCGGCTTCACACATTGTACCCAAATCGAACCCCGGGCCTTCGGCGTGTCAGGTGAACGCTTTTACTAGGCTACCCCACCGCCCCGCACAATAAATAAAGGCGACAAATTACTACCGCAGGAAAGTGGGTAGTGTATGTATCCTGTAACTTATTCGTAAATATAAAAGGGGCGGTCGGGTAGCCTAGTGGTTAAAGCGTTCGCTCGTCACGCCGAAGACCCGGGTTCGATTCCCGACATGGTTACAATGTGTGAAGCCCATTTCTGGTGTCCCCCGCCGTGATATTGCTGGAATATTGCTAAAAGCGGCGTAAAACCATACTCACTCCCTCACTCACTTAAATATAAAGTGACAAAAAACATTTCCACAATCAAAAGAAATTTCTGCTAATAGCAGAGTCGACTGTAAAATTCCGACTGTATCATGTGCATGTGTTCAGAATCACTATCAAATAGTGATGATACCAGGTGTTCGCGAAATGTGAGCGTATCCTGACCAAAAGGTGGTACATGTCATAAACACACACAAAGGCAAGTCAATATTTCACCTAAAAAATATGGTACAAGTCAGAATATGGAATTGCGCACTTTAGTCTGTGATGCGTCAAATTTGGAAATGTCCTCCACATGTCTACCATAGAACCTTTTTAAAGTTTTACTGAGACCTGCCAAAAACTGGCTACCGAAATTCTGAAATGCGATTGGATACAATGTTATATTGAGCACAATTCAAGGGTTGTAGTGTCTTATCAGTGTCAAGAGACAAGACGAGTAGTTAGCTGGGGCGACCAGATGGTAGTGTCACAGGTCTCAATTCATCATCATGACAATATAACATAGACCGGACCCCAAGAGGCAGTAAACATCTGTCACGACCAGAATATGGACACAGGAATCTCCTGTTATATACATATAGACGTATTACCTAATCAGTTAGCTGTATATGTGGTAACTCGTGTCACGAGCTGTAATACGTTCCCGTGTAACGCCGGGGCCTGTGCGACACGAGGCGTTACACAACCCCAGCTCACAATGTAATGTGGTGTATACAGCCGTACCTCCCCTACCGTGAGAACCATGTAAGGATCTGATGCTCTGAGTCATAGATTTAAGTACGTTTTACCACTGTAACACAATAGTTCAGTAAATCAGACATCTATTAGACGTTTTCTGAATACTGTCGTCTTATATATCATCATGTTTACTTAAAAAACTCTTAAAGTGTGGCTGACGGATAAGTAACTAAAGGTTTTAACCTGACTGGATTAGTTAGGGGTACACAAATACGTTCAAGGATTATCGGCTACAATATAACCCTCGCCATTGTAGGATTTCAAGGCCCGTGATGAATTTAGTTGACAGTTAATACGTTGCCACATGTTACGTCAACCATGTAACTGTCAGTACGCGGGGTTCTGTTCCGTATTGTTTTGTAAAGTTACGAGATAAAAAATGAATAAATATTACACCCAGGTAGGTTAATGTGTGGGACAACATCATTCACTCTTGTGATTTGGATACGTTGTGTTTATTACCTATAGGTTATAGTGGCACACGAAGGCCCCACATGGGTACAATGTGTGAAGCCAAATTTTGGTGTCCCCCGCCGTGATGTTGCTGGAATATCGCTTGATCATAATGTCATTTATTTAACATGGACTCCGAGAAAAAAAGTACACATCCATGCATGTTTGATGGTCGCTAACCATGACACATTCAAGATACGAATATAATACTTATGTTTTGGATCTTAAGTTTGTAGTATTTCGGCCATTGTTTTCAGCCTTGTATTGTTTTGATAAAGTTAGATATATTTTGGTCAAATGTATTTATAAATGTATACTTTTTTTAACCGACAGTTTGTTTTTCTGGGCCATATGTAATGTATGATAGATAAACAAATATTACACTTTGTGCCCATGGGGGAATCGAACCCGGGAATTCGGCGTGACAAGCGAAAAACTTTAACCACTAGGCTACCATCGATGCATCACTCTACATATATGTGAGTATTTGCATAAAACAACCTGAAAATACAGTAGTAAACCTTAGGTAGCTTGTTAGAACACGGAGAGCATGGTGAAGATCACTTACACCACGAGTGAGTGAGTGAGTTGGGGTTAACGCCGCTTTTAACAATATTCCAGCAATATCACGGCGGAGAACACCAGAAATGGGCTTCACACATTGTACCAATGTCGGGAATCGAACCCGGGTCTTCGGTGTGACGAGCGAACGCTTTAACCACTAGGCACCCGACCGCGCCCAGAGGCATAGGAATAAATCGCGTAACCATCGACCGCCTCCTTGGTCTTGTGGTAGAGCGTCCGCCCGGAAAGCGGAAGGTCCGAGGTTCGATCCCCGGCCGCGTCATACACAAAGAAGTTAAAAGATTGTACTTGTTGTTACCCTGTCCGGCGCTCGGCATTAAGGGACTAAAACAAGGACTGGTCGGCTCGGAGTCAGTATACTGTGTCTGAGTGGGGTATTCATGTTAAACTGCGACATGGTATCTCAGTGAGCTAGCACTTTAAATCGGCATCCGACTAGTACAAGCAGCCACACACACACATAC